ATGCATGACCCCCTAGGTGTCACGCCTGACCTCTGACACTTGACCCCAATCAAGAGATCTGTTTTAATAACCTTCTTTACGTCTTCTGCTCTCAGCCTTTCATTTCTGTCTGGCACTCACAGACTAGAGACGGAGTCATACTTACATTTTAATACAGTAATTCGGCATCCGAGCGCCAAGGAATGATGGCATGTACTACAAGATCGCACGCGCCTGAGGAGTGAGGTTCTCCCCCTTTTTTCAACCGTGGAAGAGAGAGAGCAGTGAGCCGATTACAGCCCTTATCTTATATTCTTTTCGCTTATCGTCTACGGGCGATAAGCAGCTACCCCCTTTACACTAGGGATTAGACATTCCCGTCGGCCTTGTCCTCCTCGCTCCTGCGGGATTAGACATTCCCGCCGTCCTTATCCTTTTCGTTCCTGCGGGATTAGACATTCCTGCCGTCCTTATCCTTCTCGTCCCTGCGGTATTAGACATTCCTGCCGTCCCGATCCCCTGAACCTCCTTATTCCTCGGGAGTAGACGATCCCGATCCCTTTCGTCAGATTCCAGGATCTCTCATTGATTGCTTTGCCGAGGACTGTTATTAATAAACCCTGCTTTGTATCAGCCCTGACCCACAGTGTCGTGATTCCCACCACCAGTAAGGGAGAACGCACGGAACCGTAACACAATCAATAAACTTCGACAATTCCTTATTTGTCATCCCCATCTTCCAGATATAATCATGGAGTCCCGTGAAGAAATATGCTCTTATTCCTTTTGAAAATTTTCTTTAGGTCCGGAGAGGAATACAACTTCTCCCTACCATAGGAAGCAGATGCGCAATTCAGCGACACATGTGGGCGGGGCTATAAGTTATGCAGATCCCCGCAGTACTGGTATTAATGATGCATGTTTCCCTACCATGGAAAAACCCCTAATCGGTTTTTCATTTGCACCGAAATGCTGCGCCAATATTAACCCCGGTCGCCTTTCCGTTGTAATGCCTGGGTTTCCAAACCCGTAATATCCTCACCGAATCCTATAGGTCAGGAGACCTATAAGACCTTATAAGAATCCTATAGGATTCTAAAGGATCCTATAGGTTTTTCGTGTTTCAAAAACCTATAGGAAAGTCTATAGATTTCCTATAAGAAATAACTATGGATTTCCTATAGGCCATTTCCGTAAGGGTAGCCAGACAGTTACGGACGCCTTTTTGAAAGAAATGCAAAGAGGAAGCAGATATTTGAAAGTTGTGACAAAATAATGAAGTATTTATTTGTTTCATAATGAATCACGTAACGCATGATGGAGAACTAAACTTAACAACAAATGAAGTGTATCACTTGTTGACCTACATCCGTTACATCTGTGTCACGGGAAACCAACTCGTGTTTCGTCTTGCGTCTGCGCGGGGAAAAAGTCATGAAAGTCCGTAGCCCAATCCACAGAATTAAAATCACAATTAGGAGTTTCCACTCTCATTTTAGATTAAGTGTTCTCGGATACGGGCGACGACGGACGATGTTCCTTCCTTTTGCCCTTCCTTCCTCGGCCCCAAGGCACGAGGAAGGAAGGGCAAAACAAATAAGCATCCTTAAAGGGTATCCCTCGGTCCCTCTGGCGTCCGAGATCCGCACGTAACACATGTGCGATCGAGGAGTCTAACGCAGTTTGCAATTGCGAAGAAATACCCTGTAGATGCGGAAACAATTGGAAAACGTGTCTTGTGTCTGAGAATTCTGTCTTACTTCGTCTTCTTCCTAAGGTCCTCCACGTCAGATTATGGGGATCCGGAATGAAGGGAAGGGGATCACCACCCACTGACGAGCTTCTTCGAGCTCGCCTTCCGCACATTAACGAAGGGAAGTTCGTGTTGGGTCTCCCATCCTCGCTCTCCATTTAGGGTCAGAGTCTCCGTCAAGAGGATGTGGACAGTCCTTTCCCCGATCCCTTGATATTTCCCACCGATGACTTGGAGTCTCCCTGCGCCAAATCCCATCATCCCATGATGATTTCTGTTGAAATGTAAGGAGGGAAGTTTCTCCCAGGGCCCTCCTCCTTTCACCTTGCACTTCCACACCTCGCCACAAGATTCCCATCCGTTCCATCCCCCCGATATGTATAAATGATCATTGTTGAGGGTCGCTGCGTGAGCTTCCACTGGAAGGGGGATGTTCAGGGGAAATGGGGACCACTGCCCTGTTCTCACGTCTAAAGCCTCGCAGCTGGAGAGAGGTTTCCTTTTTTCGAGGTCCCTCCCCCCCAAAACGAGGATGGTGTGGGGATCCCACATCACCGAAGCTGCATCCGATCTCCCCTGAGTCATTGGAGAAAGATCCTTCCATTGGTTACTCTGGAGATCGAAACTACGTCCTTCGCGGGGATTTCGCTTCCCTCCCAAGAGAAAAAGAGATTCTCGGATCCCCACCCCCGTCGTCCTGAACGCGTTAAAAGGAGGGGGGATGCGGAGTTTGTGGTCCCATCCGTATGGGGCCTCACAGGGATCCTTCCCCTCCAGATGAAGAATATGGACTTCCGCCTCTGCCCCATGGATCAGCATGGAAGAGTGGACGAAGAACACGTCATCTGTTGAATGCACTTCATTTACCCAGAGAGTGTTCTCGGGGACTTCCTACATCCCCACTCGCCCATCTTCACTTTTCCCCATGGCGAAAATCCTTGTTGCCCCTGCATGAGAAACACAGTCCGACTTAAGAGTCCTCTTCAAGAAATGGGGGGGGGGGGGGGGGGGAAAAGAAGGGGAAGAAAANTTTCATCCTTTCTTTAGATATATAAGACAGAAAGCGTTTCGGAAGAGTTCTGCTACTTCCGGTTGTCCCCTTGAAACACGCTGCAAAAGCCACATTTGCAGTTCCGAAAGGATCCGCTCGGAAAATCATAGCTCTTCTTTCCATAGACTTGAAGAAACGATGACATTCTCACATAAAATGCCAGGAACACCTGAGAATACAATTTGGAATGCATACTGGTGTGTGACCCGGGGGAATTCCTCCCTTCCCGTCCTTTACTAAAATTCCAGAGGAAGGGCATGGAAAGGGGATGTGCATTAGGACGGAATGCATCCCTCCCCACCAGCCCCCATTCCACGCCACGTGGATTCCTTGCAAAAGGCACCTCTCCCGTCTTCTCAGATGAGTCATACAGGCTCTCATTTCAAAAAGAAAAGCCCCTTTACAAGAGGATCCCGCGTGGAGAAGGAGCTTCGTTCGATAATGTTCCCCTCCCAAGCATGCATTGACTCTCGTTTTTTGCAGAAGCAGGTTAGAAGCGGCTCGGCGCATGCGCACAACCGTCACGAAGGAGGAGGCACCTGATCCATTCTACTGCTTGAAAGAAAGTAAAGAAACGTCTCAATAGCGGAATTGATTAAACCGGAGAAAATGATTCCATGAAAATGATGATGTGCCGCGTGGAAGCCATCTGCTTCCATCGTCTCTTCAACTAAAAGTATCTGAATGCCCGGGGGCTCATACTTTGTCTATTTGCTTCTCATGCTATTTTTTAAAGTGACATTTCCATTCGCATCATTTTCTTTTCTGAAATTCAGAATTAGCGGTAGTGATTTATTCAGGGAAATCTTCTACCCGACCGTCAACCTAACATCCCTCGATATTTTCATCTGTCACTGAAATGAAAAAAGTCCTTTTATATATTTTCCTCCATCCATAAAAAAGCCAATTCAAAGAAAAAAGAAACCCAGCCATAATGGTGGTCATTCTTTTTTTACTACCATGTCACGTCCACGAAACGACATCCATGTGGTATCGTTCGGCCTCCAAGTGATAGAAGCGACGGAAAGGGTACAATGGTGTATCGTCACGGCCTCGCTCGCGCCTCGCCCCCTTCCCCGCCCCCTTCCCCAAGGCCAACGACGAGAGCGTAGTATAAAACACGCCTGAAACAAGAAGGAGGAAGTTCGTCTGCGGCGTGATGTTGCTCCAGCTCGGTCGATAAGGGCCTCCTCGACAGGGAGGACTCAGCCGTCAACAGCGACTTGCCGACGCAGCTAACTCCGCTCCGTCAGTCAGCGCCGCGCCCAAGGCTTTTGCGCTCCGGCCATGCGTGGGGTCCCTTCGTCAAGTCCGACGACGCGAAGGCCGAACGAAATGACAAGGACAAGGATTCGTTGGTGCGGCGTAAGATCGAAAATATAGTCGACGCTCGATATAAGGAATATTCTTTTTTACTTTATTTTTGCCAAAATTTCAGTTGTTCTTTCATTCACGTGCTTGTTGAAACGTTTTTCTATGATGAAGTTTTCTTCAACAAATTGTTCGCTTTCATGAAGTTATTTTTCTGTATGAAGAAACAAGAGTTCCGTATTACGAAGTTTAAATCTACTGCACATGTCACAGCAATTTCTTTTGTGCATTCCTAGAAAATCTCATCTCACACCAAAATGTAGCATGTGCCAAAAGCTCATGGGTGTGGCCGTGGAGAGTAAGGGATAGACCTCATTCAGTCTTAATATTTTCAATGAGTTAAGATGGAGAATCGTAAAGATATCTCCTTCAGGGTGAAAAGGAAAGTAATCATCGTCTTCCGCAAAGAGAAACGCGATACGTGAGGAATTTCCTATGACAAATTTTCCTAGTGACGAAACTTTCGGTCTATCCCTTCGTTGTAACATCGAGTGTGAACTGTATCCCTATTCCGGCTGGGTTTACCTTTCAGTTGGTATTTTTCAAGTATTATCAGAAGTAATCATAAGCAGCAGAAGTGATCATAAGTCTTTGGGTACTTCGATAACTTATACCTCCTTATGCCTCCAAATGACGGCGAAATCGCATGGTTTCTCTCCTCTCATGAGTTGAGACACTCAATTTACTTACCAATGGATTGTGATTCACACTGACAGAAATGAGGAATGTCCTTCCGTCTTCCCCATTGTAAGGAGGATTATTCTCTGATGATTATTTCTTTCCATGGCCCGTGCGTGCTCAACATTTCCAATATCCCCTATTTTTCAATTCGTTCTTCCTAACATTTCAAATAGAAATGATGTTGATTGTGAGACTGGCTACTGGTTTGGAATTACCTTCTGGAGAAGAAATCCCTCTCCTTGCATCTTCATCCATCTCCGTATCCTTAGGGATCTGCAGAGTGGAACGCATTCACGATAGAGTAACCCAAATACATGTCTTGATGAGAAGACGAACAAATAGTAGACATGAGAGGTCTGGGAACGAGTTGAACAATGACCACATGACTCGAAATCATACCTTTAGAAAAAGGCTTTTTTCATCCAATGCCCTCCAGTCATCATCGGAGAGTGATTCAAGGACATTGGAGGATGGTAAAGGGCGATGAAGGAGAAGGCCTCTTCTGTCCATCTCCATCCAGAGGCCCATCCGACTTTGTGCTGCAGCAGATGTTCCCCCGTCGACAATGAAGAGGGTCTGGATGGCTCGGGATATCCCCTCCACCATCCATGCGTCCTCCACCCCCACGCACATCACGCCGGAATTCTCGCAGCCACGGTAATCCTTTACTCGATAGATCCGTGGTGGTTCCCTAGCCGTCGACCCAACCTTCGAGCCCATCATTCCGAGAGCTTCAGTGAAGATATTCCGAATCTCTTCGTCCGAGACTAGCACGACGATATTTCCCTTTAAAAAAAAATTAGTATGCTTGAAAGAGAAATAAACTTTCTCAAAATTATTTGCTCATCGTCGATTCGTATCACCTAAATAGTATTTGCGGCATTCTACTCGTCAAAGATATTGTAAAATCGAGACGTATTTGAGCGATATGAGAGAAATTCCTCATGGACATTGCCTGAATAGTATTTGTCGTACTCTACCTGCCATTGAAATTGCAGAGTCAACTCGTATTCGATCGATATGAGGGGCTTTTCGGACAAGCATCATTAATCTGGATCTTGAAATTGTTTGAGCTTCAAGGGCGTATTATAATTCTTAAGATGGGAAGCTCGCCAAATGCCTTCATGTAAGGGGCAGATGGGGGTGATATTTAGTACCACAACAAAACAACTGATAAGAGTTAATCCACAAAATGTGACATAGGAGGTATCAATGTTTCCTGGGAATATCGAGCGAAATTTCACGGTTATAGGAAGAGATGAAGATGCCTTCCGTCGTTCGGACGCCATTTGTGCATGGTCCCACTCCCCATGATTGGGAGGCTTATCGTCGACGCAGTGTCACGAGATGGGTAAAGAAACGACAGATGGAACATACCTGAGATAGGGAGTGAAAAACGGCAGCAGCGGTGATGGCGATGCATCCTCTCCCCCGGCCACCGGTGCACTTCCATCCCCCATGGTAATGCAACCCAATAGGAGGAGTCACAAGGGTGGGTCGAACACCGAAAACGAGAGAAGAAGGCTGCGGTCGAGTGTTCAGGGTCCCCGGCTTCACCCGAAGCTCAGAGGGGGATTCGTGGGAGAGGACGTGACTCAAGAGGCGGGGGAAGCCCACACCCTGGCATCCATTTAGAATCCTCACATCTGTTGGACCGAAAAAGAGAAGACATGATGAAGCAACCTAAGGCAAATCTGAATAGGCTACTGACTGAGGTCATAGATGCTGCGATAGTATTCATCTAAACGAAAAAAATAATAGGGCATTAGGTATATGGGACTATTCACAGCCGCAAATACCTCGTATTCACATCCGTGAAGTTTCGCACGAATACCATGGGAAAAGTCACGAAGCATTCCAGTTCGTGAGCAATTCCAATGAACCGTTGGGACTATTCTGTGTAGTCTTCCGCTGAATCGGCAGATGGCGCTCCAGAAGTCACACGAACCTATCATTTTCTGATTTCATTGATATATTTGTACGGATTTCCGTTTGGTTGTCCCTTTCATCCCCCAAGATACAATACCACTACGACGTCAAGTCCGAGAAAGTACGTAAAAGGACACTTGTTTACCTCTGAAGAATTTCTCTCAGAATCTTCGCTGAACCGATCCCTTTCGTTTCGAAAAAAAAACTAGTCCTAGTACGTTTAGGAGCTTGGAATGAAGATGGAGTGCAGTCCATTGTTCTCCCTCCACGATTTCGTCTTAGAACTAAGATTGCTTTCATCAACTTTGCTTCACGGAAAATTCCGCTGGAGGCAAAGAAACGGATTTCGATGTAAAATGTGAAAAAAGGGGAAAATTGAGTAGGTGTGCAGGATCTGACATCCCGGTCTTCTCCTCTGGATCTCTATCCGGGCTCTCGTCGAGGGGGGAAAGGAAGAAATTCAAATGACAGTTCGGGATGAAATTCTATTGATACGTTCCACATCTCCGTCTTTCTTCACATTTCCCATATGACCCAATGGGGATTCCAGACAAAAGGCTTTAAGTTGTAGAGAGCTGTAAAATCAATGATAATGCAATAATGTAGACGAGGAGAAAGTTGCATGATTTATGTATTTCCGTTTCCGGGAAGATGTTGAACTTGTGGCGGGAATCGTTGAGGGCTCTCTCTCCCTCTCTCACACACACACACTCACCCCCCAAATCCCTATTACTATCATCTCTTCCTGTAACAGATATTAAAGCATTCATTCCGAGGCGTGCTAAAGGCATGGTGCACTAACACGGGAAACAAGACATGATGGAGTAATGAACGTAATCATGGACTCCTTAAATGAGGTGGGAAATCCGGACGCTTCGGTGGATAGCGTGAAAAATTATATTCTCAAATCGAACGATCCATTTGGACAATGAATGAAAAAAAAGAAAAGCGTAACTGAAATTTACTGGAATTGAGAAAGGTTCCTAAAGGTAGTTTTGTTCCACAGAGCGATTCCCAGGTATTCACGGAACATCGCTACCTGAGAAAACACGAACAATTCCTTTTTCCATTTGTGCAGGAATTCCCATTTCCACACTTCAGATGAATACTCTCCTGCCAATGCCTAACTTGGAACATTCAGTACAGACGTGACAATGTTCAAGGCGGGGAAATCGGATTTCGCTTTAGTGAAGCCTTTATTTGCCTCGATCGTGGCTTATTACTATTAACAGATTTCATATTTCTCGTAGACCATCCAAAATGGCAAGAAAAGGCGTAATTTTTATTTAAAGGGCGAATGAAACAAGGATCTGCTTTGCAGCGAATGCAAAACGCGTACTTCACCCTCTACATTATCACACCCTTCCACCAGATGTCTGGCAATTAATGCACCGGAACCATACGAGGGTGAGCATCGGGCCGCTAACAAGAGCGAACCATGTTAGCTGATTCCCTCAGGATTTTCCCAAGGACGGATATGGTACGTTCGCATCCAGTCCTCGTCCAACAAGAATAACTCAATGACTCCTAACTTGTAAGAAAGCGTTTGTCTCGTGGATGCCCTTGAAACAATTCAACAAAGAAGCATTTGTTGGATAACATTTTTTTGGAACGATCTAAAAATACATGATAGTTTCATTGCACGTTGACAGTGCATGTCGAGAAAAGTAGCGATCTTACTTGTTTGTGAAGTGATTTGGAATCTCTCCTTGAACTTTTTCACATTGAAGTTAGTCGCGGCATAGATGATATACGGATGGAAGGCGATGGTGAGAGAAGCGAGGGATTGACAGGGCAAGAGGGCCGAGATGATCCTCTCCCATTCCGCCCTCAAACTCTCAGTGTCTCCAGGTATGGCAACTCCGCCAACGGGTACATCATCGAAGGCTACATGCAGTCTTTGCCCTTTATTCATGCACTTCTCCAGCATCTTCACCAAAAGTTCTTTCATAATCTGGGGGTCAGGAGACGAATTTGTCTTGAGCCCATGCAGCTGGATGAGGTCGTGGACGTCGTAGGCCTCGACTAAGTTCAACATTTCTCTCTTCTTCATTCTCTCTTTCGCGTCCAACAGAGAAAGACTTCGAGGATATCGATTTCTGTGCCACCTGCTGCAGTCCACGAACATAATCCGATGCTTGCGCTCCCCCTTTTCATGCTCTTTGCGGTCTTCCGGCGTTTTCCATCTAGATAAAGACTCCTCAGACTTCTGCGTTTCCTCCTTTTCCTGTTCTGCCTTCCTCTTCAGCCTGTCAAAAAGAAATGCAGTTTTCCCAGAACAACTCGGTCCGAAGAGTAGCTCTAACTTGCATTCCTCGGATTCATCAGGCAGAAGGGAAGACTTTTCTTCCGGGAAAGTGGTCCACGAAATCTTTGCATGAGAACACTCGTCAAGTCGATCGGAAGAAACGCCGGAAGATGACATACTGGGTTTTCTGAGAGAGCAGCAGGTGATGAGTCCCATTTGTGCAGGTTCTTCCCAGTGACCGGAGGGGAATGGGTCTGTCGTGATCACGTGGAGAGACTCTCGGGCCATCCCAACCAGAAGAGACCAAGATCGATAGTAGGCTTTTCCACCATCCAAGAGAATGAGATTCTGGAATGATATTCCAGTCACCTGTTTTTGATAGAAAACGAGGAATCGGGGCTGGGGGTGTCCTCGGAGTGTCCCTTTCGAGTCGAGGAAGACAACTCCTTGTCCCAGTCCATTTCCAAGTTGACGTACCAATACATTCCTTTCCCGGTCTGTCCTAGTGATGATGGTGATGGTTCGGGAATCCGGGATCCAGGATCGAATGGCCATGACAGCCTTTGATGCCCATCGGTAAACCTTATTGTCAGTCGGAGGAGCTCGGACGAAGACAACTCGGGGTATTTGTTTTTCTTCACCCGGATCATCACTGTGATTCCGTACATATTCCAGGCCTTGCATCGGAAGATATTCGTGGCACGGAAACCGCTTCTGAATGAATCGGGTCACTTCGATCACAAACTCCCCGAGCTCCTTCGTGCTTCGTTTTATTTCATTGAGTAGTTCCACCTTTTCTCGTCCCAAGGAATCAACAACACTTTGGATATCAAGGGTTTCGGGGTAAGTGGCATCACTGGGACGCCAAGTGATCCAAAGGTTTTTGCATTCTTTTTTGTCAGCGAGGTCACTCCATTTTTGTCCAATCTCCACCGGATTCTTTCCGTCCATGCCGAAGTTGATCTGTATTTCGTCAATAAAGACATGGCTGTGCTTCCTATCATTGATTTTCTCAATAAGAACGTCGATTCTTCGTCGATCACCGCCTAGAAACTCGAAAGAATCCATGATTGTTATATTGACCTTGAATTCATGGAATTCGGGCAACTCACGCCAAGCTCTCATTTCCTCAGTCAGCTCTCCTTCTGACATGTTCACGATAATGACCATTTCGCCCATTTCTGCTAATCGTTGGGCGCTTTTGAGGAGCAAGTAGGTCTTTCCCGTACCTTGCCCTCCGGCCAGGAAAAGAACGGACTGGTCCTTACCCAAAATCTGCCTTTGATGAGGAGTAAGAAGAACCAAGGCCCTTTGCATTCTTTCGTCTATATTCTCGAGGAGATCTTTCACTGTTCTTGGCATACCCTCCACAGATGCCGAGGCTGCTACGTACGTCCTCATCACATCCAAATAACATTCCTTGGCTGCTGAGACTGTTGTCTTCCGCTTCGTGAGAGTGATTCCATGTTTCTCAAAGAATCCCCTGAAGGCATCTCGCGACTCAAGATCGTCCTTTGTGAGAATTTTTTCATGGCAGAGGGAATCAGGTTTGCATTCCAAGGTTTTACGGACGTAACCCCTCGACATGTATGGGACGGCGACGAAGCAGCAGAGAGAAGTATGCTCGTAAGCCGTTGGTCCTACGATCTGTAGAAAAACCCGTTCACTCTTCTCGAGCTGCCATTCAGCCTTTCCCACGATATCCTCGAGTGGGTGCTTGTCGTCTGTTCGCTCGTTACTCTTCACCTCAAAGAAGAGAACAAGAACTCGTTCACCATCGAACACGATCCCGCATACATCATGGTCACCGTGCAAGATAGTCAATCCCTTTCGCTTCCAGCGTGTCTCTCCTTTTTTTCGTCCATTTGCCAACGATCCCCATTGCTTTGTAGAACGTGGTGGTGAAATCATACTCGTAAGTGATGAAACTGGGAGTATCGGCCAATTCTTCCTTCAAGAAGTGAAAAATCTTGGCCACAGCTGCGTAACATCGAGGAATCCCTTTACTTACGTCTCTTCTCATGGAATGGCTCGCTTCCCCCACTTTTTTAATACCAATATTTTCTAGCTTTTGTTTGCCGGGTTCTGCTCTTGTCACGATGAGGGCGTTTGTACAGCCATGGCCATCCTCGATTGCATTTCCCTCCTCAATGTCGAAGAGCTGCTTCTGAATTTTGTCTTCGAGGGCGTATTCAATAGGGTACGAGTGAGCCCGTTCCTCTGCTCTTGGATAATATTTTTCTTGGTACTTCTCGGCAGCTTCCAAGAACGTCATCATTTGGTAACCATTTCGGCGAACCCTCATTTTCTTCCTCGGGTCTTCCCCCTCCATCTTCTCCAATGGTTCCAGCTTAGCCAGCTTCTCCATAACCTCACAATTGTGCACATGCTAAACAGAAAGCATCACTTGTAAGTATTCTTCTCCTCCTCCACGAGATAGTTTGAGAGTTATCGAACCTTTGGACGCTGTGAATAATGGACTGGTTCCTCTTGTCCTTTTCCCCATTTCTTCTCCATCCTGTAGAATCGGGAACGAATCATGATTGGCAGACTGACAAGCATGACATGGTACATCAACCACGCGTATGACGTCGCGATTAAATCGACATTTAGAGACCTTTCCAAATTTTAATTATCCGTTGCAAACTGTAATTTCTTGTCCATCGGTGGAAAGGACGATAGAGAAAACGCTTCCTAAAGCGATGAAAAGAGATGGGTTCTCATAACAGGAAAGTGCCGCGAGTACGGGAGACAAAGTAGATTGAAATTATAATTTGT